CTTTGAGGATAAGATCCATGTTCTCATTTTTATGCCTTTAGCATGTAACGTCAAGCTTAATGCACAGGAGGGCTCAGTTAACGTATATATAATTTAGTAGAATGTATGAGTAAGTGCATTATGTGAGATTCCTAGATGGGGTTAATGGGAGATGTTTGGTATTTCATAATAGACATAGCAGTCTGTCTGCCTTTCACGACTTAAATTTTAAAGACTATTGTAATATTTTCCTTTTCCAAGTTTCTAGCAATATTCTAATTGCAATATGTGGTCTACCTAATTTCTGACTAGATTAAAAATTTTGCTCTTTCTTTTTCCTTTCATAAAATCAATTTTAGAGTATGCTACTGGGTAAAAATGGTTTCTATATATAAAATATTGGAGGAAAATATATATAGTAAAATGTTTTTAAAAACTTGCCGTGGTAATTTTAAAACACTTACCATGGTTAAAAAAAAATCAATTTTCTAAGGGAAAGGATTTTCTTGTAATAGTGGATTGTTGGGGAGGAAGTTAGAGATTAGTGTACATTTTATTTTAGTGTTACAAATTTTGGATATGTACTTTACAAAGTGCACCGTTAAATTTTGTTATTGAATTATATTGCTTAATTCTTTTCTACTTTTGAAACTGTTGTATTTACACTTATAGCAGGTAATTGTTTATGCCAGGCATGGTTAACTCATGCCTGTAATCCCAGCTACTGGGAAGGCTGAGGCAGGAAGATTGAAAGTTCAAGATCAGCTTGGGCAACTTAGACCCTGTTTCAAAAAAGAGCCAGGGAGTATAGCTCCTTTTTAGAGCATTTGATTGGTATGTGCAAGGGCCCTAGGTTTAATCTCTAGTAACTCCCCCACCCCATTAAGTACTGGGTATTTAAAATTGAAAATAAGGGATTGGAATAAAGGTATACAGTGAGATTAAAGAGCTAAATTTGAAGGTCATAAGCATTGAGGAGAATCTAGGAAAGGTGTGGTGTAAAGGAAACCAAGGAAGGTATTTTAAGTGTGAATGACCAACAGTGTTCAGTGTTGCAGAAGCCTTAAATGATTGGCTAAGAAGAGACAAGTTAGCAACCAAAAAATTAGGAATACACACATACACACACACATAATGGTATTTAACAGTTGGCTGGGGGTCAGAGGTTTAGTTTTTCCAGATTTCTGTGGTAAAAATATTTTTATTATGGCTAATTTTAAGCTACCAACATCTTGTCATTAGATCTGGAGTAGAGAAGAGATTTTACAACCAGCAGTGTACCACTACATATAAGAAATTCATGTTATTCAATAAGGAAAAGGAAAACCTAATCTAAATATGGGCAAGAATATGAACAGGCATTTCACAGAGGGGAAATATGAATGGTCAATATATATGCAAAGATGTTCATTTTACTAGTAAGTAGGGACATACAAATAAAAAATATAACACTAACAACAACAAAACCTTTGTTTTTATCCATTAGAATGCAAAAGTGTCTGATAATATCAAATTAGGTGAGGACATGGAGGGAAATAGTGATAGTCTCACATTGACAGGAGTGTAAATTAGTGTAACTGTTCTTGAGGGCATCCTGGCAGTAGTTATTAAAATTGGAAATACGCTTTCCTTCGACCTAGCAAATCAGATTCTAATTTCTCCTTTGGGGTGGTATTCTTACTTGCACACAAGAAGATGAATATATTCATTATGGTATTATTTGTAATAAAATTTACAGAACAATATATCCAGTGGTAATATTGTGGTTGTGCTAAAAAAACAACCTAGTCCTGTGTACATTATTTATATAATCTTAGCATTTTTTTTGAGTGTTTAGAGAAAGAAAGGAATTCAGGAAGTAAGAAGTAGAGAATGGGAAGGGATATATTTGCCCACAGTATGGGTAGTTTGATCAAGAAAAGGAAGAGAAATCTTACAATTAAAAAAAAAAGGATAAATACAGAAATTATAACATTGGAACAAAAATTGGAAAGCTATCACAAGTCAGGGTAGGAGAGAAGGAATTTATAGATGATGGTGTTCCTAAAAATCAATAGATCTCTTTGTTTAAAAAACAGAGAGATACATTCATAGAGAATGGGGAATGCATATGGTTTTTTTAAAAATTTATGAATTCCGTTTGAGTTAGTATCTCAAACTAACAGTTTTTTTTTTTTTTTTTCCTAATCCATGGAAGACAAGTAGGTTATTCTTTCTTCCTTTAAATGTTGAAATTGAATTTGGAAATCTTGACAGCACTTTTCTGATAATTAACTGTTATCTAGAGATAGTAGCCCCTAAAGGAAGGCAAGATGGCAAGGTCTAAACAAACCAAAGTGATCATACTTAACCATCTGATAAAAGTGCTTGATTAGACTTTTTCTCGTATCATCAATGCCATAGTTAGTTTGCCAAAAAACAGATCTAATTAGTTTGTGTTCTGTCTCAGAACTTTAAAATCACAAAAGATAGACATGGTAGTGTTTTGGTTTGGTTTAATTTGGGCTCCATGTTAAACATTCACATTTAAATAATATATTGGTTTTTCTAAAAATTTATAAAGCCCAACTAAAACATTATAACTGAGATTTTAGTTCAGAAATGTGGAATTTAAAGTTTGCCTTGTTTGTCAATCACTTAATTCTTTTTAGTTCATTACTTATAAAAACCACTGAAGAGATAGACAGGTCAGGGAAGAACATAAAAACATTTCAGGAATAGTAAACATTACATGTTCTCTCAATTTATTCTTTAAAATTTCCATTAAGGTAAATTATATTAAGTTCAGCTTTTGATATACTTCTCATTTCTTCAGAAACTTTAGTGGTTTTCTACCAAATAAGTCCAGAAGCCTTAGAGTTCCAGTATGCAAAACAGTAAATGAGAGAATGCATATTTCCTGTTTCCATTGCACAAAAGATTATTTTTTATAGACAAATTTAGTTTAAAAGCAGTACTTAACTTCCATGGCTCTTGTGTTCCATCATCCAAGCACAATAATATAGAATCAAAAATTTTAAGTGAGAGTTAGTTAAAAATTAGTTGCTTTTTGTACAAAGACTCCAAAACATAGATTAGCAAATACATAGTTTTATTTTGTTAGTGATAGTTCATGAACAGAACCAGTGAGAGGAAATGCTGCCATGGTAACATAAGCCAGACTGTTATTTGCAGCAGTACTCAGGATACTTTACTGCCCTGAAACTGCAAGTTTTTAGTACTAGATCTTGCAATTTGCTGTTTCAAGGAAATAGTAATTCTACTGTGATAAAAACAATTTGCAGTACTCTCACAATAGAATTTGAAAAGTAGACTTGAACTAAATTGTTTCTAGGAGTGGAAAACCTAGGTAGAATATGGCTAGAATTATTAAAAGAATTGTTTCATTCAGTGTATGAAAAATAATGCCTGCATATCTTTCTTTTTTTTTCTTTTTTTGAGGCAGTGTCTTCCTATCTTGCCAAGGCTGGTCTCAAACTCCTTGGGTTCAAGTGATCTTCCTACCTATCTCCTAAGTATCTAGAACTATAGGCACCTACCACTGTGCCTGGCTCCTTACATTATTATTATTATTATTATTATTTCTTCTTCTTCTTCTTCTTCTTCTTCTTCTTCTTCTTCTTCTTCTTCTTCTTCTTCTTCTTCCTTCTTCCTTCTTCCTTCTTTCTTCTTTCTTCTTTCTTTTTCAATTGAATTGGCTTTGGGACAAAGAGTATTATAGTTGCTAACATTTCAAAGTTTTATTTCCCTTCCTTAAAGTATATTTATCATTGGGTTCACATGACCAAATATATATCTAAATTTCATCACTTAATCCAAAAAACATTTGTAAAACTTTCTTTAGACCAAAAATCATAATGTTGAATACTTCCTTGGTATAATTTATGTGATATCTTGCTACTAAATACCAGAAAGATTAATCTGATAATCTAATACATTCTTCCTGTATGACAGAGTGATAGGATATCCATAGTTTTTCTTTTCCTTTACATTTAAATTGCTGGGATGTTTAAAAATGCTTTACACTCAATTGTTGTATCTTTTCACAGATAGGAGTTTTTTGTTTTCCTTTCTAAATTTTTTTTATCCCTGTTTATTATCTAACTTGTGTCTCATGGTCAGAATTAATTTATTTTTGTTCTTATTATTAGTTTTGTTAAACTCTTTTATCTCTTAGGAGTAAAGGAATAAGAATATAATGTTATTTACCAATATTCAATAAACCTTTCTATGTGCCAAGTTTGGAATAACCCACTTATTTTGCAGCTGTGTCATCTACATATAAATTACCTTTTTTGAATCTCATCCCACCTTAGTGAAGTGGCCTGGATTGGTGTTTTGTTTGTGGATAAAATGTGATGAGAGGTCTAATTCTCAGAGATTAAAATATTTGTCCAGTGTCACATAGCCAGTTAATAAGCAATGATTGGGATCTCAGTCTTTTGTGTTTTATGTTTGTTTTCTTATTCTGACAATTGGGATAGAACCCAAGGCTGACACAAACAAGCACTCTATCACTGAGCTACACTCCAGCTCTTAGTTTCTCAGTTTTTAAATTTGTGGAACCATGTTTTTTTTAATTATGCCATTATTCTGTAAAAATTATGTCATAAGTACGCCTGTAATCCCAGCAACTCTGGAGGCTGAAGCAGAAAGATCACAAGTTCAAGGCCAGCCTCATCAATTTAGCAAGGCCCTAATGCAACTTAGGGAGACCCTGTCTCAAAATAGAAAATAAAAAGGGATGAGGATGTGGCTCAGTTGTTTGTGCCCCTGGCTTCAACCCACAGTACAAAAACACAACCAAACAGAAAATTAGTTTGAACTTCTCTAGTATTGTGAGGAAATTTTGTACATCACATGGGTACTACAATCATGCATAGCTAATTCACTTCAACTTTTGTATTGTACTCAAAAGATACTGGAGGGTTCCCCTCCACAACATTTATTAAAAACATTCTGACACTGATTGTGTATGTTTAAAAATTCCATGTTACTAATTCATATGCATTTTTTTGTAGGTTAATGGCAAAGGTTCCTTATGGTGTGTTGATCCAGAATATAAACCCAATCTTATGCAGGCACTGAAGAAGCAACCTTTTTCCTCAGAGCCTCGTAACTGTCAGTGGTGAGTTAGATGGTTTTATTGTGTGAGTTGGAGAAACTTAACAAAGTTGTGCGACTTTTTAATTGTATAGAGAGGTATCTGTGTATGACATTAACTAAAGCATTTATGTTTACTTATGGTTGAATTTGTGTCTAGGAAATAAGAAATTGGATAATTGAGAACAAATAAATTATCAGAAATTAAGACTATTAACAGTTTGTCATAACATTTTTATATACATTTTTAGAGTTCCTATTTTATTTTTTTCCTCTTTAATAGCACTTTTAATATTTATAATTTTGTTAGTTCTAAAAGTTTAAACAGCAAGTAGAATACTTTTTTGAAGGCTCCCCCTTCCTCGTAAAAGTAATTATAATGTATTTTCCTATAATTTCCCTTGACTTTTATTTTTAAACCCAGTTATGACAAGTACTGTGACACACATCTATAATCCTAGCTACTCTGGAGAAGAGGCAGGAGGATGGCAAATTTGAGGACAGCCCGGGCAATTTATCAAGACCTTCACAAAATGGAAAAGGGATGAGGATGTAGCTCATTGTAGAGCAGCCCTCTACTTAATGCCCAGTACTGCAAGAAAAACAAATAGTAAGCCCAGCTACTCCTATGGATTTTTTTCTAGCTTTCTCTTTTTAAGTTAGATCTGAAAATAATGTGAACTCCTTAAATACTTTTAGTGGTAGTCTGTGATGCTTAACTTGTATTTTGAAAACTTTAAAAAGGTTTTTAATAGGGGCTGGGGATGTGGCTCAAGCGGTAGCGCGCTCGCCTGGCATGCGTGGGGTGCTGGGTTCGATCCTCAGCACCATATAAAAGTAAAATAAAGATGTTGTGTCCACCGAAAACTAAAAAATAAATATTAAAAAATTCTAAAAAAAAGATTTTTAATAATATAATAAATGAAAAATTTCAAACACATGTAAGGGAGTACATTATAATGAACTCTGAGATGCAACAATTATTAATATTCATATAATGGTTCATTTGAATTCTTAAGGTATTATTAGATATAGAAGAATGGTTACAATTGAATACTGTAAAAAACTAGGAAAACCAAAATTGAAATGCTAATAATATGCACACCAATTGAGATTTTAAGTTTTTACCATATTGGAAGATTAGATGGATCATTTTTTAAAAAAACTATGGAGTGATTTCTCCTTGTGAAGTAAAACCTAGAAAAGAAGTTATCCGTACTTGTATCTTCATCTGGGAGTTATTTTCTTCAGTATTAGTTAATGTTGGTGTTTATGAGGTGTTCTAGTTAAGTTATACATTAGAAACTAGTGAAAAAGTTCTAGTTAATGTTCACTTGTGTGTTTTATTTAACTCTGCTTTTTTTTTTAGAGAGAGAGAGAGAGAATTTTTTTTAATATTTATTTTTTAGTTTTCAGCGGACACAACATCTTTGTTTGTTTGTATATGGTGCTGAGGATCGAACCCGGACCGCACCCATGCCAGGCGAGCGCGCTACCGCTTGAGCCACATCTCCAGCCCTAACTGTGCTTTTTAAAAATAAGAATAAGTGGGAGAATTGGCACTATTTTTTTGTAAACCATCACAAATGCATTTTACTGGGCCTTTGATAAGTTGCATTTTCATGTTTATGTTTTTTAGCGTTATCATAACTGTAGATGTTAAACAAAAGTGGTTTTGTGATTTAAAAATAGATTAACTGACAGCAAAGAGATTACAAATCTTTAACTTTAAAACCTTAATGTAAAATGAAATATTTTCTCCCTTTTTGGTTCATCTGACAGACTTTTTTATAGCCCTCTCATGTTATAATTTACAAATCTGAGAAAGGATGGATAAGATGCAATGTATGTAAAAGCTGATTAGGAAGGAAATAAACTTTTCATTCCATTAATAAAACAGATTATTTTGTACTGGCAAAAAGTCCAAAGAACAGAAGATGTTTTTCCCAAAAAATATTTTAATTTCTGGAATGGGAGGTAGGGGTGGAAACCCACCTATGTATGTCTTTCTCCACAAAGAAAGTTTAATTTGATATTGATGATTCTTAATAAAATCAGGAACTTAACTGGTATCATTAGTCTTCATTAAACACTAGTTTTTTAAATGCTTTGATTTCTGTGGTAATAACTATGTTAATACTATATCAAACATATACATATATGTAAAAAATACATATAATACAAAACCAATAACTATAACTGTTTCAGGCATTTAAGAAATATATTTTTAGTTGTTATTGGACATAATAACCTTACTTATTTGTTTGCTTGTTTGTTTGTTTACCACTGAGCCACAACCCCAGCCCTGTTCCAGGCATTTTAAATGTATTGTTCTTATTTAATTTTCCCAACATTGTGTGTAATTAATTATTTGGTCTAAGAGCACCCAAATAATTGTGATTTAATATTGGTTGAGCGCCAATATTGGTAGTATGTACTTTATGCTCTGGCCAACTCTTCCTAAATTGAGTATTATTAGCAAAATTACAAGGTAAAAACAGTCTGTTTTTTATGGTACAAATCAGTTCTATTTGTGACTAAGTTATGAAAAGCAAAATAAATTGAACATGCTTGTGTCTTTATTTTTCAGTGGTTCTTTATCACCTCACTACCTAAGCTCTGTTTTCAAGCAGAACCAGGTGCGAACCCTCAAAGGTAAGGGTAAAGATCAGTCTTTTAAATTAAAAAAAAAAAAAAAAAAAATTTAAAAAAAGTTAAAATTCAGGATTTTTTTTCTGATTATAAATTATATGTTAATTGTAGAAGTTTCAGTAATTAAAACACATAAAAGAGAAGGTAAATGCCACCCTTTATTCTATTGTTAACATTTTGATATAATTCCTTCGGTCTTTTATATATGTTATGTGTGTGTATACACACATATACACACACATTTTTTTCCTCCTAACAGTGGACTTGATGTGTGTATAGTTTTAAGTCCTTTTTTCATTTACCTTTTTTTTTTAGAATTAGTTGGGCACAATACCTTTATTTTATTTTATTTTATGTAGTGCTGAGGATTGAACACCCAGGGCCTTGCACCTGCTAGACAAGTGTTCTACTGCTGAGCCACAATCCCAGCCCTCATTTATTTTTATATGTATTTTTCTTTGAAAATTGGATTTAGTTTCTAGTAATATCTTCAATAAAGTTATCTTTATCTGTTTTTTGTGCATTTAATTACCTAAGAATGGCTTTATATTTATAAAATGGTTGGGGGAAAAATCAAAATAACAATATTGTTTCAAAGCATGCAAAATTTGCTGTAACAGCAGAGTTAAGTAGTTGCAAAAGAGACCTATTATTTCCTTGGTTTTTCCTCCTTTGTTATGCTTTATGCAAAGCATAAAGTATTTACTTTCTGACTCTTTACTGAAGAAGTTTGCCATTCCCTGGATTAGAATATAGTTCAGAATATTTCTCTAATAGGTTATTTAAATGTGAAGAGTTTTAGTTGAGCAAGCTAAGTTGACTTTTAAAATTTTTTTATTAATTATTAAAAACAAATTAAAAATTTGAATAAGGGATTTGCTTTCCTTCTCATAATTAATGTTATAGATTAGTAGTTTATTAAAATAGGTTTTTCTAACATTGTTGCTTTGATGCCTAGAGACATTTCCATGACCTTTGAAAATAAAATTCTCAGACTAACGCCTTTCTGTGTAACAGACATTTTTGGCTCTTTCAAATGATATACTAAGCTGAACCTCAGTAACGTTGTACTGATGTCTGCAAAAATATGGGAGGGAAAGAGTGAAAAAGCTTTAGAGAACTCTGCAAGAAGTCAAGTGGATAGGGAATTGGTTTTGGATAATGTTCTTTCTTTGCATAAGGCAGGCTTCGGTTTTCTTTTACTTTGTGGGTAAATGTGGTTTCTCTTTACATTTAGATACTGCTGAAACTGCTTTATCTTTTTATTGCCTCAATAAATGCTGACCTTTTGCTCTTAAGCTCAGTTTACAGATACATGTTGAAAACATGTTCTTTAAGGATTCTGTGACTTACTGTTATGCTTTGCATGCATTATCTCATTCATTCCCTGCAACCATCCTTTAAGGTATTCTTACCCCTTATTTACAAATTAGGAAACTAAATTTTGGAGAGGTTGACTAACTTTTTCAAGGTCACACAAACTAGTAAATGACAGAGGGATTCAGGTCCAGGAATTCTCACTTCAAAGCTTGCACCTCATACCAGATATGACCCATTGGAGGAGTTGCTGAAGAGCTTTAAATAATAGAAATGACATTACCCATTTTGTGGTTTTATAAAGATCACTTTAGTATTACTGTTGGCTGCAGTATTACCTTATACATTCATCTCTCACTTCATAGAATCATCTTTTCTGATCATTACATTGTAACTAACATTAAACATTTAAGATTAATGGAGGTTAGGTTTAGGAACTCTAGAACCACTATCAGCCAAAACTGATATAGCACTTTGTTTGAAGTATAGTTGTCTCTTGTTCAACTTGCTAACTTTATGTGCCAATATCTATATTACAGTGTTGTTATAATAGGTAGCAGGAAATACAGGACTTTCATACTGATATAGCAAAACAAAACTTTTTGGTCAAGATTTGGGCTTGGTGTGGGTTTGGGTAAATTCATCTGTTTTAAAACATTACTGAGCTGTGCTATGACACTGTTTTAGGTACAGGGTACCTCAGTAAACAAAACAGATAAAAATGGAACTCATATTCTGGTTAGTAAATTTTAGAAACACCTAGTATACTACAAATAAATATAAAATTGAGGCAGTTGGAAATGATGTTAGGGCTCAGCACAAATTGAAATTCAAATTTAATGTTGAAAATTAGCATAATTTCTGTCTTAACCTGAGTCCAGACTACACCAATGGACCAAACAGCTTAACGCTTTGATAGTTTATTTAAATTGCTGTCTTACTGAAAGAGACAGCCTCTTCATTTGGATGCCTTATAAATGTGCATGTTAATTTGTTTTGGTTTTGGTTTTGGTACTAGGGATTAAACTCAGGGGCACTCAACCTCTGAGCCACATCCCCAGCCTTGTTACTTTGTATTTTACTTAGAGGCAGGGTCTCACTGGGTTACTTAGTGCCTCACTTTTGCTGAGGCTGGCTTTGAACTCTTAAGATCCTCCTGCCTCAGCCTCCCAAGAGGCTGGGATTACAGGCATGCACCACTGCACCCAGCTATATCTTAGTTTTGATAGAAGCAGTTAATACTTTTCATATATATATATATATATATATATATATATATATATATATATATACTTTTTAAAGAGACAGAGAGAGAGAGAGAGAAAGAGAATTTTTTGATATTTATTTATTTTTTAATTTTCTGCAGACACAACATCTTTGTTTGTATGTGGTGCTGAGGATCGAACCTGGGCCACATGCATGCCAGGCGAACGCGCTACTGCTTGAGCCACATCCCCAGCCCCCTTTTCATATTTTTTATTAGTGAACTTATAACCCTTCAAATTCTTTCTACATTTTTTTTTTAACTTTATTTAGATGTGGATACTGACATTTAATTTGAGGTCAATCTACCACTGAGTTATATTCCCAGGCCTTTTTACTTTATTTTGAGACAGGGTCTCATTAAGTTGTTGAGACTGGCCTTGAACTTGTGATTCTCCTGCCTGTGCCTTCTGAGTCACTGGGATTACAGGGATGTGTCTTCAAATTTGACTTCTATTCCTACAGTCTTAATATCATCCTTTAAGCATGAGGACCGAGAATCAGACAATAGAATCATGTTTGTCTTATAACCTTTACTTTCATAGGGCTAAAACTTGTGTCCTAATTTTTTTTCTCAATCATTGTTAATAATTTCTCAGGATTAAAGCTAAGGAAATATAAATCAAGAGGTGGAAATTAACAATTTTGATAGATCTTCATTTGAACAGTTATGAAATTAATAGCATGTTTTGAACTACCAAATTTTGGTTCCTGGTGAACTGGATATGTTAGATAATATAACTAATAGTGTTGTTTGCCTTTTTGGGGGAGTGGGGGGCTGGGAAGACTGGGGATTGAACCTGGGGTGCTTTACCACTGAACAACATCCCCAGCTCTTTTTATTTTGTGACAGGGTCTCACTAAATTGCTTAGGGCTTCACCAAATTGCTGAGGCTAGCCTTGAACTTGCAATCCTCTCTCAGCCTCCCAGTTTGTTGGGCTCACAGGTGTGCATCACTGTACCTGGCAGTGTTGTTGTTTTAAAAAACAGCCTCCTTTAAAATAGTCAAAATGCTTTATCAGTGAAAAGTAACATTATATGAAGTATTTTAAGCTCTGTCAGTACATTGTCTGTACCCTATGAAAAAAATTGCTGTTTACATTTGTTTATCATAAGTAATTATTTGCTCATTTAGATTGACAATCACTTTCTCTGTGCTGAGTAAGCATCCCAACCAGTATCTGGTGTGTAGTAGAAGCTGTTTTTTTAAGTAGGAGAACATACACCAAAATCTTAATCTTTAAGTATGTGCAAATATTTAACAATAGCCTCTCTTTTGAAGAACATTAATGTTACCATTCTTCCCTTTTCAGAATCTGATATTGATGCTGCCGCTGCAATGATGCTTTTAAATACTTCCATAGAGCAGGGGATTTTAGAATGTAAGTCATGATGCTTTTGTTTTTAAGAAACATTTTCAAATTTAATTTAGAAATACACAAATTATTTCTCTTCAGCTAAATTTTCTTTTAATCTGAAAAACTTATTCTGTTTTATTATATTTTCATTAATTTATGAGATTAATTGAAAGATTGAAGTTAATGCTGTGAAAGATTTTTGCATTAAACAAGAAATGGAGAAAAATATTATATTTAGAAAATAAGTTTGATGAGCTAAAAGTAAAAATGAAAGGTGTATGCAATAAAATACAGGAAAGCATATTGAGTTCTGACAGCAAAAGATACCTGTAAGAAAAATAACATGAACGGTTAGGGTTGTAGCTCAGTGGTAGAGTGCTTGCCTAGCATGTGTGAGACCCTGAATTTGATACCCAGCGAGACTGAAAGAAAGAAAACAATAAACAAATAAAAGAATGGGACAATTTTTTCACTATGTGATAGACAAAGGATTAATATCCAGTCTCTATATAAAAGATCCTATAAATAAGAAATAATAAAACAGTTTAACAGAAAAGTCATCAAAATATATGAATAGATAGGTCTCAGATGAGGAAATATAGACAATACCCATGTAAAAAGGATGTATAACTCCTCTAGAAATTAGGAAATGCAAAATAAAATAATATGAAGATTCTATTTTTGTCTAGGAGATTGTAAGAAATTAAAATGATAGGTTTTGTCAAATACTGTTGGATGTTAAATGGTACTACCATTTCAGAAGGCAGTTGAGGAATACCAATTGTAACTTTGTGTTTATATATATCTTTGTTTTTAATTTTATTTTATTATTTTTATGTGGTGTTGAGGATCAAACCCAATGCCTCATGCACGCTAGGCGAGCACTCTACCACTGAGTCATGGCCCCAGCCCCATGTATATATCCTTTTACTTAGCACTTCTATCTCTCGGTCTCAATCCTAGTAAATGATTTGCATATGCATGAGGAAAGCTATTCAGAACTTTCATTGCAGCATTATTTGTACTGTACTGGTGAAAAGCTAGGAACAACTTACATATCGACAAGGAAATGGTTGGCTAAACAGTGGTATATTCATATTGGGGCATTCTGGGCAAGTAGTTAAAAATGATTGTATATTCCATGGAAAGGTGAAGACATACTATTAAATGGTTTTAAAATGTTTCAGATTAATGCTTATAGAATGGTATGATCTGGTTAAAAAAGAAAAAAACTACTAAACATTACTAGTCTAAGGCACTTACTGCTCAGTTTTTAGTGGTGTGTTTTTGCAATCAAATGCTTTTGACCTAGTGATAGAAGTTCTCTTTTCCACAGGTGAAAAGCCTCTTCCTCTTAAAACATCATTGCAGAAAAAGAGGAATTATGGTAATGCATTTAATCATCCCAGTGCTATAAGATTACAAGAGAGTGATTCTTCCACCACCAGCATTGATCCAAAAGAAGATCATAATTACAGTGCAAGTAGCATGGCAGCACAGCGCTGTGCATCCAGATCTAGTGTGTCTTCCTTGTCTTCTGTGGATGAGGTCTATGAATTTATCCCAAAGAGTAGCCATGTGGGAAGTGATGGCAGTGAAGGATTTCACAGTGAAGAAGACACAGATGTTGATTATGAAGATGATCCTCTTGGAGACAGTGGCTACGCATCACAGGCTTGTGCAGATACCGCTCAGAAAGGGCAGCCAGGCAAAAAGATGCGAAAACAGTCATGTCAAGAAATTGATGAGGAGCTCAAAGAGGCAGCTGGATCTCTGCTCCACCTTGCTGGAATTCGTACATGTCTGGGTTCCCTGATAAGTACTGCAAAGACACAAAGTCAAAAGCAACGGAAAAAATAGAAATGCTTTTTGGTGTGAAATTATTTTAAAGTGTGGCAATACTCTTCTACTTAATTCTTTACAAGGGATATCAAAGCCATAATCGACTTTAGTTTTAAGGTGAGGAGGGGTGCCAATTACTTGTTTCTTTCAAAACATTTTTGATTTCTGTTTATTTTTTAAAATTTAACCATTGCTGTAATGATCATGCCCAATCGTAAACATGTGATTAAAAAGCCTGAGAGCATAATTTTTGTGATAAGTGTCTCTTAAGATTTGGAAATTGTTACATATGAAAATCCATAGTTACTGATCCCATTAAAATTTTTGCTGATATCTTTGTCATATACTCCTCCCTGCCACATGACCTAGTAGGGTAAGATTTGAATTATTTTAATTGTGTCTTATTTTTTGTTTTAAATTATTTGTTGAACATGAGCAAAGTCAAATATAAATCAGAAAAGATCCTAGATGTCTAGAAAATTCCTGTCAATAATATAGGTAAAAAATCCAACAGTGTTGTAAGATTTAGAAAAGAAAATTTGGGGATGTGATTTCATCTAAGAAGACTACAGTTCCTATTACAGTAGTATCTGAAGTGTTTTTACATCATGGATGACGCATAGCATTCATTGGGGCCTTTTATTTTTTCCCAAAGTGCTCTGCAACCACTGTTTAAGCCACCAGCTGTCTATGTGAAGTGGAAATTGTCCACTCAGAGGATATAGCCATAGAGTGTTATGGAGTAACGCCAATTTTGACATACTTTTGCAATAAGAATCTTTCATTTGCTTTCCTAAATACACTGCATTCTAAGAGTCTTATAACCAGATGGAGTGGAATACTTATTACTTATGTTATCATAAATGAAAGTAGGTCATTTAGGAAAAAAAAAAGAACAAAACTTTCCAAGCTTTGTATGAATTAAAATTGAATGTATACGAAATAAATTTTAAAAGGCTTAACTGTAGAGCTAAAATACTTTCTCGGATTTCAACACTCATATAAAATTAGATCTTACACAAAACTTTTTGAGGAGGCAGTGTAATACTTATATGTGCCATTAATCCATGCTAAAAGGTTTTTATATTACTATTCCAGCATTGTCTTAAAATGTTTTAAGTATTTAAACAAATCTGCTTATGAGACAGTTTTTTATAATATCATTTATATAGTTTGACTACATTATGGAGAAAGAACAGGGATACTAAAACTATAATTTATTACATTGCTTTTTACAATGGTGGGGACGACTTTGGAAAAGTCATTCTTATGATACATTCTATGTCATAGACAATGACTTAATTTTCATTTTTCCCCATAATTTTTATACGTAGATACACACACACACATGCAGAGTCAAACTCAAGATGTTGATTTCCTGCTCTCAGCTGTGTTTATGACTATAAAACATTTTCTTGGATTTTTTTAAAGACATAAATGTTTTTATTTTAGCTTCTAAATTTTATTTCGACAAAACTGTCAAAAGAAGAATAATAACAAATGTATCTTTCAATTGATAAGACTTTTATACAGGGATAATAGCATTAATGTTTTCTGTCCTGTTTCCCTGTCAGTTGTCATTGATTATAGATAACTACCTTAATACAATTGGTGCTGTTGAAATACAGTAATTTTTTCATTTGTTGATAATGTAGGATGAGTTATTTGGACTTTTTCCTTCATAAATGTCACATCTCCAGCAAATAGCTAAGCCAGGTTAGCCTCTTTTACTATAGACAGTGAATAAAACACCAAAAACAAACAAAAAAACCCTTTTACCACGGTGTAAATAGTAAAGAGATTACAAAAATGGATGTATTCTCAGCTGTAATAGGGATCTTCAAAATGTCTTCATATATGTAACTCCTTAATTTCTTTGATTTTTTTTCTCCCTCTGTACTTATCCAACAAATTTAAATGTTTAAGCTACCTTCATCATTAGCAAGGACAATAAACACTGTACTAACATCTACCAGGGAGAAGTTAGACATTTTATTTACACCCAAGTCTTGTATAAGATTCGTGTGTCATATTCCATTTGCTAATACAACACAGCAGTTATTTTCAAGGGGAGCAGCTTTTTAATTATGGTCCCGCTGTTCTCACTCCTGAGGTGTGTGGAGATAGAAACATGTCTCATAGCCATACAATTAAGGAAAGTCATTCCAAGTCCTGTGGACTAGAAATTGTATTCCAAATAATAAATTAATTTTGCTGTAGTAAGAACAATTTGGAAACCCCAGAGAAGTTACATGTTTTTCAATAACTGTGACTTAAATTAACATACAATTTGCCTTACATCAAAAAAATAGAAAGTTGGTTGCAACCTATTCCAGTTTATACTAGATCCCTAGTGAGAGTTTTGTCTCAGCACGATTAATCTTCATCTGTGAAGATGAAGAATCTGTGTTTCCCGAATATGTATTTTTGACATTTGTTTGTGCAATATATTACTAAATTAGTTAATATTTTACTTTACAAATTCAGAAGAAAACAGATTACCTGCATTTGTGGAAAAGCTAACTATTGGTGGATACCTCCCTTTTTCCACCTTTGAGCTTTTCCTGTCCTCATAGTCAGCATGACTTCTCTTAAATTAGATTCCTTTGTATATTGTAAAGTTTAGTATATATATATATATATTTTTTTTTCTTTTGCTACTTTCTGAGGCATTATGTAAAGGGTTCATATTAGATGGTCAGTCAAATATACGTTAGCAAAAAATTCAAAGCTAGAGAAAGTGTTAAGGAGGGAATGTGTGTGTTTTGGTAGGCCAGGAAGCCTTCCCCAGCAATTTAAGCAACAGATGTGAATACTTCACAAAGTGTAAAGACTTTTGTCTTAAATACTACAGTAATTTAACACCCTTTTGTGAAGACTCATTTAAGAGACTTTGAGGCTTTCTGGTTTATATATACTTTATAGTTTTATTAGTTTGAAATGTGTAAGCTTTGATTTAAACAAAGTTTACTTCAGTATGTTATGATATAGTCAAAATATTTATTGAAAGGGAAAATAGAATATTTTAATGTTATACCTGCCATTTTTTCTTAAAGTACATTCTTTGCATCTAACTGCCAGTGCCATTGTCAAAACTTGTTTCTAAAATTGTTGTACATTTTTTTATTAAACTAAGTGCTTGATTTTAAAGTATTATGTTGCCATCAGATAGTATATAAAAATGTATAATTGCCAATTCATTGTAACTACTATTTATTTTTAAATGAAAGTATAAAGATGCTTTCTGTTTCAAGAAATTTGTTATTAAACTGTTTTCTCTTTTTTGATGTAGCATAAAAATTGTCTTCAGTTGGAATTGTAACTGCCAGTAGATGACCAGTCACAAGTGAACCACTTCTTAGTTGCCAGTCTTTGCTCATATTAAAAACAACTTACAAATGTTTAGTTTTTGTATCTAATCTCTGATAATTAAAATGTTTATAAAGTTTATTTTTACCAAAGAGATACAATTCATTATGATAAAGTATTGCAGAGTAAACTTTGTTTTATAACATTTTTTGTGCTTTCTCTGTTCTTTGGGGGATGAGAGGAGGGACAGTGTAGATGTAAGGTGGCACATCCTTCTACACACACACTAAGTGCAGTGGTGTTACTTCAAAAATATCAATAATACCATCTGTTTGAAAATTGGGACATGTATTATAAAATGGATTAATTTACAAGCAACGTTTTGATTTTAAGTTTTCAACCCCCATTAACTTCTGTACTGATAATTTAGTCTTTTACATGGAATTATTTATATGAAATGAGACAACTATATTGATTTTAAACTACTACCACTCTGTGTCCTTTGCCTTTTAAGGCATCCTCTTGAAATAGAAAATGATTAAAATAATAACCATTCGGGGGTCATGATGTATTCTGAAATACTTTTATTCTCATTATTACATTCATTTTCTAGCTCATACTAGTCTTGAAATAGAGAAATATATTTTAGGAAAATAAGTTATTAGAGTGAATTTGAAATACACGAATCTTTTTCTCAAGAATTTCAGGACATACCACTTGATGTGACTTTAAAATATAGAAATAAGACTGTCAAAATGTACAATAACTTAGATTTCAAATCACTGAAAACTCTTCAGGAATAAAAATTAATTTTAATCTCAGAAATAACAGTATTTATCTGGACACTGTGTGTATGCCTTGTAGTCCCAGCTACTTGAGAAACTGAGGCAGGAAGATTGTTTGAGCCTAGGAATTTGAGGTCAGCCTGGGCAAAATGGTGAAAGGCTGTCCAAAAATAAGTATATTACATGAAATTTGAAATAGAGAAAGTTTATACGCTTTCCACTGAAAAACATCTCTGTGTTACACAGAATATTTATGGAAAGTTTGAATTATAAAAGTGTCTTTACAAATCTGTTGAAAAAGTAGCCTTTTCTAGGGAACATCAAGGCAAGCTCAAAGGGCTTATTTCCTAATGTGGAAATAATAATAAATAATAATCCCTTCTTAGTGATTCTCACACAAAATTTTGTGTAAGTGGATTTACTTCCATTGTACATTTTCCTCAACCTTCAGATTTGGACTCCAATAAATATTTACAAGTCAGTCTTGGAAAATAAAAGAGGAAACCAAGAATTGGGTAGAAAAGAGATCATAGGAAGTCGAATTAGAGGAGATTTATGAAGCTGAAGCAAAATTGCTGTCTACTGGTTGAGGATTCTAAAGACACTGCAGTGTAGCTAAATTCATATGATAATTTGTAGAAAGGAGTTGAGAAAAAATTTCACACCTTGAGAGCCTCTTTTCACTTGAGTTTTTGTGTGCCTAATCCCAAGCATTGTGCTTTAAGTCTGTGACATACAATATGTGCTAAGAAACAAAAATAGACAATCTCTGAAACATGTAAATATGTAATTGTGAATTGTGATTGCTACACAAGAATAGGGCCTAGAACATATAATATATAATCTGGGATTTTAGTGGTGGCTTCCCCTAGAATGTGACTTAAACTGGGATCTGAAAGATACATGTTAATCTGGGAATAAAAACATGGTGAATTGTTCTGGGCAAGGGTAGCTTCAGAAAGATCTTTGTGATACCAGAAAACATGAAACTTTCAGTGAATTAAAGGTTAGTGTGAGTACAAAGAGTTCAGACTGGGATCACAGCATCTGGGAAAGACTTTGAAATTGTATGCAATTTAAGAGATCACCTTAAGACTTTCACTTGCAGCCGTAATGGAGTGGCAGGACAAAATTTAAGTGCGTCTTTAGCAACAAAAACGGACAAAATATTTGAAACAATATTTTTTAACAAGATCCATAAGAATGTTTTACCTATAGCCAGACTAATGAATAGAAAAAGGACACAAATGAAACAGTACCTATAGACAGATTATACAGATATTAAAAGGATGTACATGAATAATATGAAGAATTTTATGTGAATAAAGTCGACAACTTAGAGAAAATGAAGTTTCTTAAAAGACATACAAGCAAAATACCAGCAAACAACAAAATGAGCAAAATATCTGAAGAGAAAATTTATCAGAGTAGATAAAGAAATGGCAAATAAGTACATGTAATGATGTTCAACATCATACATTATTAGGAAATTGCAAGTTACAACAACAATAAAGGAGCTAGAGTTGTGGCTCAGTGGCAGAGCATTTGCCTGGCATGTGTGAGATCCTGGGTTCAATCTTCTGCACCGCATATAAATAAATAAAAGATCCATTGACAACTAAAAAAAAAATACTACCACACCCCTATTAGAATGGCTAAAAAAAACTGACAGTTTGGCAGTTTCTTACAAAACAGAACATACTCTCCATACAATCCATCTCCTTAGAATGTATTCAAATGAGTTGAAAGCATTCCATAAAAAGTTGTAGACGAATGTCTTAGCAGCCTCATTCATAATTGACCAAACATGGGAGCCACCAAGACATCCTTCAGTAGATGGACAGATAAACTGGTACATCCAGACAACAGACTATTATTCAGCAATAATAAATAATATCAATTTTTAAAAGGATTGACATTTCTCCAAAGAAGATGTACATGAAAAGATACTTGATGTCACTCGTTATTGGGAAAATGTGAATCAAAACCACATGATATGTATAATTTAAAAAGTTTTAAAAAATAATGAGAAACCACTTCACACCCATGAAGATGGCTCCTATAAAAAAATAAAACAAATGACAGCATCATTTATGGGATGAGAATGTAGGGAAATTGGAACCCTGTACAATTTGAAATGATGCAAGTGCTATGGAAAGCAGTATGGAATTGAAATTAGTGGAAATTAAAAAATGATTGCAGCCACTACAAAGAACAATGAAATTCATCAAAAATTAAAAATAGAGCTAGATGTAGTGGCCCATGTCTGTAATCTCAGTGACTCAGAAGACTGAGGCAGGAGGATCACAGGTTCAAGGCCAGCCTAGATAATTCATCAAGACCCTGTCTCAAAAAATGAAAACGGGCCAGGGATGTAGCTTGGTGGTATAAAGTAAAATTTTAGAAAAGGATTGAAAGGAGGGTCTCAAGGAGATATTTGTATACCCACATTTATAGCAGCATTCTTCACAGTGGCCAAAGGTGGAAGCAGCCCAAATATTCATCAATGGATGCATAAAGAAAATATGGGAGTGGGATGAGTAGGCATGTAGCTCAGTGATAGAGTGCTTTCTAGCATGTGGGAGGCCCCAACTTTCATCCCCAGAACTGAAAAAAAGATACATACATACGATGAAATACTCTGACACATGCTATAACATAGATGACCCTTGAGAACATATACTAAGTGAAATAAGCCAGGCACAAGAGGACAAATACTGTATTATTCTACTTAAATGAGGCACCTTAAGAGTAGTCACATTAATAGAGACAAAAAGTAGAAGGGTGGTTGCCAGGGGCTAGGAGAAGAAAAATGCAGGGAATTGTTTAATATGAATGAAGTTTGAGTCTTGCAAAATGTAAGGATGATTTTTCCACTAAATGGTGCCAAAACAATATACATATTGGAAATAACCCTAAATCCCTGCCTCTCATCATACATAAAAATGTATTTGAAATCAACCATAGGCCTAAATGCAAAAGCTAACAGTATAAGACTTTTAGACAAAAACACAGGAGAAAATCTTTCTGATGTGGGAACAAGCAAAAATTTCTTAGGACACAAAAAGCACAAACCATAAGAGGGGAAAAAAAAAAAATATATATATATATATATATATATATAAAAATGGACTTCATCAAAATTAAAATTTGCTCTCCAAAAACATTCAGAAAGTGAAAAGTTAAATAAAATACTGTACAAAGATATTCACAGTACACAAATCTAACAAAGGATTGTATTCGTAATATATAAAGAATTCCTACAACTCAAATTAAGTAAGGACGGGTAAACTATTTGAACAGCCCATTAACCAAAGAAGATATTTGAATAAACAAAAAGACAAAGGAAAGAGGCTGAAAATCGTAAGTCATCAGGAAAATGTCCATTAAAAACTCAATGAGATACTAATATATACTTAATTATAATGTCAAAAATTAAAAAGATTAACAATACTGGTGTTTGTTTTTAAGAAGGTAGAGCAATTGGAAAGCTCATGTGTTGCTAGTGGAACCAGGTAGCACAACCACTTTGGAAAGCAGTCTGGTGGTTTCTTATAAAATTTAGCATACAATCATTATGACCCAGTAGATTAGTTTTCCAGGGCAGTCAAAACAAAATACTACAGGCTGGGTAACTTAAAACAACAGAGTTTTATTTCTCCCAGTTCTGAAAGCTGAGAAATCCAAAACCAAGTTATCTTCAGGTTTTGGTTTCTTCTGAGATCTCTCTTCTTATCTTGCAGAGGAATACCTGTTGGTATGTTTCCTCACAAGTTCTTTCCTCTGTATGCACATTCTTGGTCTCTTGTGTGTGTTCACATCTCATAAGGACACCAGTTAGACTGCATGAGGACCCACCCTAATAGCCTCATGTTATCCTAATCACCACTGTAAAGGCCCAAACCTTTAAATACAGTCACATTCTGAGCTACTGGGAATTAGGGCTTCAATATATGGATTTAGGCAAACAATTCAATATATAACATCCAGCAATTTCAATATTAAGTATTTATTGAAAAGAAATGAAATCTTGTACTTGAATATTTATAGACGCAAATGTTCATAGTACTCTTATTCATAACAGCACCAAACTGAAAACAGTCTATCCATCAACAAGTGAATAAATCCATTATGGTGAATCCCTCTAATGGGACACTACTCAGAAATGAAAAAAGAAACAAACTCCTGGTCCTTGCAACAATGTATAAGAAACCAATCTCAAAAGAACATACACATGTGGTTACATAAATTTTTCCCCTGGGGTTCTGGGGATTGAACTCAGGGTGCTCTACTAATGAGCTATAACCCCAGCCTTATTTATTTGCTTATTTTTGAGACAAGGTCTGGCTAAGTTACCCAGGCTGGGCTTGATTTTGCAATCATCCTAATCTATCCAGAAACTGCACAAACGCCTTTAAGAACTCAGATGTTTGTATCTTTCTAGTGAATAAAGTAAGAACTATGTCTGCAGAACTTCTCTTCACATCACATTAGGATTTTATCTCAAGCTCCAGGTGTAGCCAGTGGTAAAGCACCTGCTCAGCCTAAGACCCTGGGTTCCATTTAAACGACTTCTCACCCACTTTCTGCCACCTCTTGCACACCTATCTCAATTCTTGTTTTTTTGTTTTTTTCCTTCTTTTTTTTTTTTTTTTTTTGTACCACGGATTGAACCCAGGGTGCTTAGCAACTAAGTCACACCCCAGCCCTTTTTATATTTTATTTTGAGACAGTGTCTCATTAAGTTGCTTAGGGCATCTCTAAGTTGCTGAGGCTGGC